CTTCAAATGAGTGATTTCAGTGACAAATTCCAAATCCATAGACTTAACACCCGCATGACTGAAAATCATCCCACTGCTTCTCCGAAGCCCACAGCTGGAATAATCACAACTAAAGTCAACCCCCAAATGTCCATGCAGCTAGATACTCACCCAGTAACACTGGGATCTTAACTTTTTTGAGTGCTTTAGACAGCAGATGTAGAGTTCTTCATGCTGTTTCCAAGTCCTTTTCCACCTGAGTTCCCCCAACACATACAGGCCCAGATAATTTTCCACTGGCCAAGAGCTGAGCTGACCATGACATGTGGCAGTTCTGTGAACCCATTTGAAAAGGTGGCCATCAGGATGAGAAGGTAACCTCTCCCTCTCCCGAGCACTCTCATGTCTGGTACACACCTTTACAAAGGGCAGCAGGACAGGCAGCCCTTCCTTCTCATCTTTTCCAAGGTTCATGTAGCAGAAAACTGGCTGCCTGTGTGCGCCATGTGGGCCATGGTTAGACTATACCCTGCTTACAAAAATAAAACTGACATCAAAAACTTTGGTTTTGCTCTTTACAATTTCTGCTAGCACTGGCTGACAAGATGGGTTTGTTAATTTATAAAAACTCTGCTTATGAAACTTGGAACTGGAAAAAAAATGGTTTCTTTCTAGGTCTCGTTTTGAAAGGAATTTCAAAGAGCCTACTTGCTTTTCCTCGTTAGACACTAGCATTGGTTTCCAGAATATTTCTCTGTAGATTGTTCTTATTAGGTTTTAGAAAGAGGGAAGGTCTTTTGAGGTATCCACATGGTGAAAGCAGCATTCAAGTGGGTCGTTTCTAAACTCTAACTCTTGGCCACTAGATGCCCTCAATTTACTGTATCAGAACGCAGCAATTGACACTGGTGAGCCAGATTCTCATTTAAAAAAACAACAGAAGAGATCAGAATTCAATGATACCAGTCTACTGTATTTGACAGACTAGCTCCTACACTAATTCACCTACAGAAGCAACATCAAAAAGCAGGCACGAAACCTGTCAAGTGTCCCATTTCTGAAGTGGAATAAGGAGTCATATACTTACTGAATCAGAAAGCTGACTTTCCAGATGCTCTCAGTCCAGATTGCATTTTATGGTAGATGGGAAAATCAGCTTTCTGATCTACCTCTTAGAACTCGCAATGGGTACCAAGGTAGGTTTCCAAGCGGATGATTTTCCCCTCTGATGAGTTGCTTGTTTGCCCTGCCAGCAACCTCCCCAGAGCGCATCAGCGGTGTTTCTACATTTAGCAATCATTTTGTTCACATTAAATAGCTGATATGATAACATTAATTTCCACTCTGGACATAGAAAGGGAGAGCTATGATGGGGGGTGGGAGGTGTGTGCGTGAAACAGACTTCTGTTTTGGAAAGAACCATTACTTCTTTGCCCGAGACTGAAATGTTCGTGGATAGCTGAGATAACATTTTTTCAGGTTTTCTAAAGAGATTTTGTTAACCGAACCATGAAGGACATTTTCAGGTCTAGACAACATGGCGTAAAGAGCGCCTTGCTGTTTGCTTGATGAAACATTTGATGTCACAGTGTGATTTTTGGGCTGCAGGGCATCAATGCTTTGTCTGGTCACTCTGAGTCCTGATGGTCAGAGTCCACTTAATCACATACGCCCTTCCTATACCTGTTTCCTAGGAAGAAATACCAAATTTCTTTAAATTCCAAATTTCCTTCTTTAGTTCAGTTCTCCTTGTAGTCCCCAAAAAGGGTATGAAAAGGCATTGCAGGCGTTTTTGTCTTTCCTGTGTCGGTGCTATACAAAAGTTTGCATCTCCTTAATTACCTGCTACTGACACCAACGCCACGTGACAGCAAAGTGATCACAACTTTCCACTTAATACGGGGCCTCTGCTCAGGCAATAAATGGGCCCATCCTTACCCTGAGGAGTCCATCATGGATGCAGGCATGGGGACAAGCAAAGTGTGAAGAGAAAGAAAGTTCACTTGACTGCAATGGGGACTATTAATATAATCTCAGGTTAAACTGCAAAGATACCATCTCAGAAACCTTCACATTTGATTAGTCTGCAGCTCAGTTAAGACAAACCCCTTTTTTCCCACAGATGAGGGCAAACATGACAGGTTTTTAATCCCCCCCACCAAACACACTCAAGTCGCCCATCTCTCCTTCTCACGCTCTAAGGTTTTCAAAAGTGACCTTTCAGGTTGCACTTTTTTTTTTTGTGGTATGCGGGCCTCTCACTGTTGTGGCCTCTCCGGTTGTGGAGCACAGGCTCCAGACGTGCAGGCTCAGCGGCCATGGCTCACGGGCCCAGCCACTCCGCGGCATGTGGGATCTTCCCGGACCGGGGCACAAACCCGTGTCCCCTGCATTGGCAGGCGGACTCTCAACCACTGCGCCACCAGGGAAGCCCTAGGTTGCACTTCAAGAGGTACATTCTTGACTTCTGCAAAGGTTAGCATGAAACTCTCACAGCTGCCCAGTCTGTATTACCGATCAACAACTGTTTGTTCCACATGACTAACAACTAAAATAAAACGTTCATTGCTAGGCCATTCTTTAAGGTTCCAAATAGGGTCCACTGCAAGTTCTAGACTAGAGGCTCTCAACCCTAGCTGTGTATTAGAATCCTTGAGGATCTAGAACAAAGCATGGCAGCCAGGCCCCACCCCAAACCTACTGAATCTGAATCTCTGAGGGTAGGGCCCTAGCATCAATAGTTTTAAAAACTGGCCAGGTAATCCTAATGTGCAGTCAGGGTTGAGAACCTGTGCTCTAGAGCATTCGACTACTGAACTGTCATCCCCCTAACCCAGAACAAACATGTTTATAAGATGACTTGGGATTTACTCTCTCAGGGGAACGTTCTTCAGCTGGATGCACCATTACTTAGCAGTTTCCATCTGGTTTCTGCCAGACTGGCAACAGACACTCAGCCTTGAGTGAGGTGATTTCAGGCCTACTTTTTTGCCACTCAGCACAGGCATGATGCTTCTGAGAGGTGGAAGCATGTTGATGAGTGGACTCACTTCCCATGACCCCTGGTAAGGTCAGGATTAATCTCCACATCTTGCAAACCAAAATTAGGACGACAGGTCAGTGATTTACTCTGATCCACTGAATAAAAAACCCAACCACATAATTACAAACCTAGCTAACTTTTAGCCTTAGCAAATCTCCATTTACTTATATTTAAGTAGGTTAGAATAAAATGTTTGCAGTGAAGAGGACAAAGCCCATGGATGACCATAAAATCAAAATGGACTTTAGTGTAGATATGAAGGAAAGAGGGGAATAAAAATGATTCAATTATATTATATTGAACCATATGAAATTGCCCTATTTTTTAAAAATGGTTGAATGTCAGCAATTTCATATGGCTTAACCTAATAATAAAATTTTCCTGGTTTGCACAAATTATCAATTCAAAAACAAAGTATCAAGTAATGTCTTATTTAAAAATTAACCATTAAAAATGCGAGTCAAGAAGATTAACTGACTGACTTCATTATGGGTGTCCTAGACTGAACTGGGCCACTATTTTGTTTGCCATAATAAGAAAAATGCCCACATTTTATGAAAGCATTTTTTAGAAATTGGGTTTTCAAATATACTAGCACTGAAGCATAGAGACATGGGGAGAATCTCAAACTTGGTTTCCAAGAGTTCTCTCAGTATTTCACCTACTGCAGGTGCAGGCAGGTGGAACAGCTCATCCACAAAGAACCCAAACTAAAAACCTAAATTTTAAAGCACACTTACACATTAAGCTGGTGCAAGGCTCCCCAGATACCAAGAAAATGGCCCTTCTCTACATGGCATTCAATGTCAAGACATCTGGATTCTTAGTCTGTCTATAGTAGACAGAACCTTCCATCAAGGTGAATAATGCTGAACTTTTCATGACTTGCCTCTGATTCCCCATGTGGCCACGGAAATCTCATGTATTTATTAGCTCAAAGTTTGGAATTCTACTCAGTTGTAAGAATACTATCTTGTATTTTCTTTGCAGTTGCTTTTGTTTGCAGTGAGATTTCTTCCCTCCAAATACTAGCTTGTTCCCTCTTAGGCTTCTTACTGCCTTCTCTTCCCTAGATAAAATTGCACCCCACAAATTGTGGTGTTATTTCCAAACCCACAATAGAATCCAGTCCTATTAATCGTTTTCCAGGCAGTCAGCTCATATGGGAGCCTTCAAGAACTGACTGATTTTTGCAGTGATATCACCATCAGTTTCTAAACAGTTTCCCCTGTCCTCAGATTAATTAAAAACAACAGTATAACACTATTTTGCCTTTGGTTTCAAACATTTCAGTAACTTCTTCTTTATGGAGATTTCCAGAGAAGGAATTGGAATTCATTCCCCCATGTTGAAATGTTCATGGACATATTTTCCAACCTTCAGTCTAGAGGAAACACAGGTAGCCAAAAAGGGCAGGAATCCTGATAGGAGGGTGCAGTCACGCAGCCTCGCTGCTGGGGCCTCCACTCAAATTGCTTTTTCATGTTTTCTGGCCTGTTTAACACCAGCTTCTCACAATCCTTGGAGGTCCAATCTCAACTGCCTTCCTTCACCATCTTTTTCTAGCCTGTTCCCCCCTTGCTATTCCTACAACCAGCTAGACCTGCATCTCTGTGTCTGGATATGAAGCCTCTCCTGGGAAGAACCCCCAGGAATTCTTCAACCTGCCACACCTTGTTCAGATCTGCAGGTGAATGAATGAAGAGAGCATTAAAGCATGCTATTAGTTTGTTTGTTTAACTCTGAACAGCACACTACTATGTGAACAAAGTGGGAATAGGTCTGCATTTGTCTTAATTTAGAGACACTTTAGCCCCACCAGCTGCGTCTTGGGTTAAATTTTAAATGTGAAGATATCTTCAGACCCCAATAAAATAGAAGTGTTTAGTTCCATTCAGTCAAGGCCCCACGTCAAGCTTGCAGCCATTCTCACCCCGCCAGTGGGCCTACCCCGTCACTCAGGGCTCGGGGTGGGGAGTCACGCGTTATCCTCCAGGGGAAACACCAGGCGGGTGCCCCGGCTGGAAACCTTCTGCTCTCCCATTCCCAGGTCTCGTTCCAGCACCTCCTCGGCGCTCGTGGGGGCTGCGTGGGAGCTTGAGGAGCCGTTCGCAGTCACTGTGCTATCCCCGTAGGTCAAGGTGAGGTCGCCCTCGGTCAGGATGAAATCAGAGTCTTCCTCTCTCAGCGGCTCTTGGTTCTGAAACGTGCAACAAACACCACGAACATCAACAACAAATGGAAGACCACTATTTTCCCGGGCTGAAGCCAACCCCAACCTCAGCTCCTCATCTGAAAAGAGGGATCATAAAACTTGCCTGCCTTGAGCCTCTAGCATGATAACTGGGTGCAAACTGTAGAGTGCTAATCAATGTAAGGCTGTTGCTGAACCAGCACTTCAAACACCAGAAAGCAGTTCTGATTTTAAATGCCTCACAGCTTGGGGACAAAAAGTGACAAAAGGGAAGAAAGGGAGATCAGCTCCAATTTTCAGCTTCCCAACTCACAAAGGTAGGAAGGAGTAAGGTCCATGGGCAAACCTACAAATAGGTTTCAGGTGCTCTCTTCTTTGGGAAGCTTTTCCGGGGGTGGAGGCGGCCTCCTCCCCTGTACAAACCACCGTAAACCCACCTGGTTTACAGTTGAACTACTCTTTGTCCTAGTCAGCAATTCAGGGAAGAGGATAAGCCATAATTAGGATTTCCTTCCTGTCCCCACAGAAACACCCTGATGGGAAGGAAGCCCTCAGGTGGATGAAGCGAGGGACAGAGAGGGAGGGGACGTTTTCTCGAACATCTATTATACGCCTGCCAGGGATGTCACAGAAGGTCTCATTCGATCCTCACCCCTTCCCTATGAAGGGCACAAACACTCAGGTCATAGAGAAGAAAACCTGAGAGAACCCATGGAATTTGCCTGTGGCTGTCCAGCTGCTTGGAAGCAGAGTTAGGATTTATGCTGTCCCTAGACTGGTTCTACCCACATAAAAGATGTGAAAAATCACCCCGTCGGGAAGAGGACTGGTGGGGCATCTCATGCTAGGCAGCGGTGGTAGCAGAACAGACAAGGCTGAGCAAAGCAGGCTAAGTGGCAGCCACTTGAAACTATGAGAGTACGGGGAGAGTGTCAGGAAGCAGCGTAAAGTCAGGCACAACCTTTCACCCTCCGATGGTTTAACAAGCAAAGCAAGGTGTGGTCCGCGCCCCCGCTGCATGGCTGTCAAACACGGGGAGCTTCTTCCTTGAATGGCAAACATACGCTTCCAAGCCGCTCCACGTAAACGGTTATTTCTCTCCTATTTCTCATCTCCCTTCAAAGTGCATTTGCAGTCCTTCAGCCTCTACACGACAGGGTCTCCTTGGTGTGGGATGCTGAACCTGCCTCCCTGACAGCCACGTGGCCCCCACTCAGTCTCGCTGCCTGAGGCTGGGGTAGATTCTCCCGTGTCCGGGCCGGGGATCCCCATCTACGTGAGAAACCACCGAACAGCAGTGATCTCCTCTTCCTGGCGCCCTTGCTTGCGCTGCTGACCTCTTAGGAGGTGCTAGATGAACGCCTGTTAAATGCACCGACCCAGGGAGGACCCGTGGGTTCTGGCCCATCTCTGGGCACGTAAGAGTGACAAGCACATGCTTGTTTTCTGCATTGTTTCTCAATGACGTCGGCTTCTCCACTCTCCACGGTGTGACTCCACTTAACCAGGGCTCCGACTTTTTTAACAGGCAAGCACGCAAGTCCTCTTGATTGCTGCCTCCAACCCTCACCGGAATGAGGCAGGGAGCAAATGTACAGTTCAATAAACATCCTCGACTCGGGCAGAGCATAATTCTAAAGCTCACTCCAAACTCCCCAATTTCCTCCTCCCCATTAGTAGTTCTGAAAGTCCTGAAACTCCATCTGCTCCATGATGGTTTTCTTAACAACAGATGACATCATGTTCCCTATTTTAGCACGTTCCATTTCTCCCATTCATACATGTGCTAAGTAATGTTTTTGTTCATCTCTGTCAAAATCTCTCTCCCAGGGCTCCTTAGCTCCCAATGTTCAGGAGAAGACTCTCCTGGCACGTATTTTGCTGTTTCGAGGTTAGGAGCCACACAGGGACACAGAGGAATACAGAACAACTGCATGTGCGGGGAATTCTGCAAATGGAGCCAAGCCCCTCCCTCCCCAGCAGCACAGAGGAACCCCCAGATGGAAGCTCCGGTGTGGCCCACTCTGACCCCTTGCAGTGGGAAGCAGGGCCACAATTCACTTACAGGAGAAAACAAGACTGGATATTGTCCCATTCCATGATGAAACTCACAAGCCCAGACAAATAGTACCCCAGGATAGGTCACTCAGAAACAAGGACGTAGTAAAACCCAGTGGAGAGGGATTTCCAGATGGAAGCTTAAGGAATGTTCTATGCTGATGACAAAACTATCCCACACCCTCAAATTCCAGATGACAGGATTGACAAAAGTTTTGTTCAGCTGAAGGTTTGTGTAAATACATAACTAGCTGTCCAGTGAGGGCTGCTATGGAAATGGAGTGAACACACTCCATCTTGCTGCAAACACCTGCAAGCAAGAGTGTCGTGGGAATGTGTGCATTTAAATATCCACAGATCATTTTCGTTAGGTGGAAGAACACTGTTTTCTAGGTGGTTCTCAAACCTAAATTTCATTTAGAGTTAGTGGAAATGAGGAATAACGAACATCTTCCATATCTCCCAAAGAAACTTGGTGAAGTATAAAACGCCCTACAGGTGATGGGGGGGCCCACCCAAAAGTGTGTCAAACAGCCCAGAGAATGGCTCATCCGATGCCCTCACCTGGCACTAGACTCCACATGGAGCCCCCTCCATTCTCTCACCTCTGGCTCCCTCAGTTAAACTTCCAAAGACTCTGCTCTCACTCTCTCAGCAGCAGGCCTCTCCGTGTCTGGAGGTGGCTGGGACCCCAGTCAGGACCCCAGGCCAAGGCAGTAACGGCAGAATGGAGGGTGGTTCTTGCCTGTAGCCCAAGTCACCGCATCTTGGGTTGGCTGTGGGGAGTCCACAGCCCAAACATTACCCCAGGAAGCAAACCTTGGGCAGGCTCTGGAAGTGGTCAGGGGAGCACTTTCAATTTAAGTCCCCGGAAGTATATTGAGTTTATGCTGAGTTCAAAGTAGGCCAGATACCCCTAACTGATGTGTGAGGAATAGTTGGTAAGCTTCCGAGTAGGTAAGGTTTTTATAAAGTTTTCATAGTGGGTTAGTTACTTTACTATTACAGAGACATGAAAAGTGACACTTGTAAAACCTAAGTAAGAAGGAAAGCTTTAGAAATTGGTTAAAGGAGACTAGAGCTAGAAGGCAAAGAAACACGTAAGCCCAGTGAAACAAAATCAAACAGTGTAATCAGTTGGAGCTTCTTTAGTGGGAGAAGTGAGGATGCCGAGTCACTACCCTTTGTTTCTGATGATAAAACACATCCAAATGGCCCACACTGTCACTTTACAGAGGTCCAAACTGAGCAAACTATTTAGCATTCAAAATAAGACAGATTTATTAAATAAAATGGGATGGGAAATTATAAAAGTAACTTTTTAATCTATTGGTCTGTATCCTTCCAACATAAAAGGAAAGGTAATTAGCATTATTACCTAGGCTCATATTCCACTAAAAACTCACCATAAGCATTAAAAATCACTTTACAAAACCGGGAGCAGTTCTAAGGAAATGGTGTTCTTGGCATCTGACCCATTTTTTGTAATTTAAAAGCAGTTTATCAGAGGTGGCACGGGAATTCCATTTGTATATGGGGAGGGGCTGGGGAGGCTGGAAGCCTCAACTATCTTTAAGAGAAGGAGACATTGATGCTGTTCTCTGTCACGTTTGGTAGAAGTTCAAAGCAAAGGCCATAGCAGAAGTGCAGTGTTACCATGGCAACCTGGCCATGCTGTACTTACGTCATACACCTGGGGACTGGTCAGACATCGAGCGAGCAAGCCACACCAGGCTGGGAGAGTGGTGGTTAATGGGGGGCCACTGTGTGTGAGGATGGGCTTCAAGTAACTTTAAAAAGAGAATTAAGGAAAAGTGCCTGCGAAGAAAACACACACCCAACAAAATGTGTTTAGAAATCCCAAAGAGTAAATCATCTGGCATTCTACCCCCAAAAAGCCTCTTTTCCCCCATTTTACCAGTACAATACGGAAAGTACCTGTAGTTTGCAACAGTCTGAATCCAAGATTAAACTATGCCCCAACAGCCTTAAATGTTACCTGTTAACTTTCAGGTTGGCGGTTCCTCATTTTCAGTTAAAAAGAATATCTGATTGGGGCTTCCCTAGTGGCGCAGTGGTTGGGAGTCTGCCTGCCCATGCAGCGGACACGGGTTCGTGCCCCGGTCCGGGAGGATCCCACGTGCCGTGGAGCGGCTGGGCCTGTGAGCCATGGCCGCTGGGCCTGCGCGTCCGGAGCCTGTGCTCCGCGGCGGGAGAGGCCGCAGCGGTGAGAGGCCCGGGTACCGCAAAAAGAAAAAAAAAAAAAAAAAGAATATCTGATTAATTAGAACACTCTTCTGCCTTCTTTGTTATGCTGAATGAGAATTTTGGTTTTGATCAGCCTTCCAGCTTTTGACACACAACCAGCTCATGTTTTGGAAATAGGAAATCGTGTAGCTGGAGTGGAGATGTTACAGCCCCTGGGTCCCCTCTCCCCAGAGGTCACATGGTGGAAATGTTTGAGGTGGACAGGACCTGAGAGGACTCGGCAAAAGGCAAAACGGTTTCACGAAGGTCACTCAGACCTCAACCTCCCACCTTCTCATACAGGACTATTCTTCCCTCTACCCGCTGCCTCTCTCCCAGACTCTCCAACACAGTTTCTCCACCTCGACACTAGTGGCATTGTGGGCCAGATCACCCTTTGTCGTAGGGGGCTGTCCTGCGTTGTAGGATGTCTAGCAGCATCTCTGGCCTCTACCCACTAGAGCACCCCCAACCCTTCCCTCAGCTGTGACAACAAAGATGTCTCCTGACATGGCCCAGTGTCCCCTGAGAAGCAAACCTGCCCTCAGTTGAGCCCCCTGTTCTAACATGAAGGTCAACTGTTCTGTGGAGACCGGCTTAGGGTTTGCCAATCTACGGATATTTGTGCTGGCAAATGTGCAGCCCTGTGTCACATTACGATGGAGCTGGGACCATTTATGATACCCAGAGCCAAAGCAATGTGGAAAAGGCGGAGACCTACAGGGCCACCTCAAATGCAGGAAAGGCCAAGAGACTTTAAAGGCAGGTGAGAAGGAGTCACAGCTGTCTGTGCCCAAGCTGATGACTGCTCCGAGCACCATCACTTCCTGTCTTCATTCAGAGCAGCATGAGAGAGAAAAGGCTTCTCTACAGGAGGAGATGGAAGGGTGACCCCTGGGTAAAATTCTGACTGGGAATTACTCATCAAAGGAGGATGTGCGGGCTCTGCTGGGACTCTAAGCAGAACAAGTCCCCTCTGACTGCTGTCCTCATTCCTAGAAACAGCCCCTACAGGCCTATCAGTTTTCTTGTGTCTTCAGCTCAGAAGCTGACAGCAGCTGGATTTGCAGAATGACTAATACAAAAGAGTTCCGGTGAACCCAGAGGCTACCTTTTAGTTCCCTGTCTTGGGCAGTTCAAAGACAAGCTCGCTCTTCCCAAATACAGAAGGCCCTCTAACAACTTATTTAAAAGAGAAAAAATATTTACAGATAGATTTTAAATATTCAGATTGTTGGAAGGGCAAAATTGAAATATCAAGCCTCCCTCCCACCCAGACTTTCTGGTAATTTATCATTACAACTTTATAGAATACAGTTTTTTTTTGCCCATTTCCTGATTTATAAACTGTAGTCAGCTTTTAGCTCCCTCTTATGAAGGAGGGTAAATTTAATTCATTTACATTCCTGCCTCTTTTCAATTTTTTTCCTTTCTAATTTTTATTTATAATTCATTTTATACTGTAGATATATAACATTTGCATTCTGTAACTAATAAGCAAATATCTGCTTTGTCTATGGATTGAGCCTAATGTTGAAGACCAATAAGCAGCACTTGTAATAATGTAATTTATGAATATTATTCATAACCTATTCACTGTAACCAAGCAGAGTGGTTGGAATACTATTAAAGGAAATGTAATACAATGTCATTTAAACTTTGTTAGAAAAGAACATTTGAGTATCTTGCAAAAAAAACAAAGATCTTCTTTTAATTTCTTTTTGATCTTGTTCACTTCTTCTGGGTTATAACAAATCACTGTCCCCTTAGTTGGATTTTGTTTTGTTTAATCCTTATGTTATTTTCCCCACTTCTTATAGAGTCTGCACGGTGCTAAACTTTCTGAATTCTTGCATGTCTGAAAGCCACCCTCCTTTTTTTTGCTCATTTTTGATTAACAGTTTGGGTATAGAATTCTAAGCTCAGAAAATTTTTTTTCATCCTAGGACTTTCATTTTGTTGATGGTTTCCTTTGCTTTGCAGAAAGTTTTTAGTTTGATGTAAAAAATTTTACACATGTTTATTTTTGCTTTTGTTGCCTGCTCTTTTGGTGTCAAACACAACAACAACAACAAAATCAGTGCCAATACCAATGTCAAGAAGTTTTTCCCCTTTGTTTTCATCTAGGAGTTTTATGGTTTCAGGTCTTACATTTAAGTTTTTAATCCATTTTGAGTTGATTTTTATGAGTGGTATGAGATCCAGTTTCATTCTTTTGCATGTGGCTGTCCAGTTTTCCTAACACCATTTATTAAAGAGACTTCCCTTTCCCCATTGTGTTTCCTTGGCATGTTGGTCTTGACTCTATATGCAAGGGTTTATTTCTGGACTTCTTATTCTGTTCCTTTGATCTGTGTGTCTGTTTTTATGCCAATGCCATACTTTTTTGATTATGGTACCTTTGTAATATAATTTGAAATCAGGAAGTGTGATGCCTCCACCTCTGTTCTTTTCCCTCAAGATGGCTTTAGCTATTTAGGTTCTTTCGTGGTTCCATACAAATTTTAGGATGGTTTTTCTTTTTCTGTGAAAAATACCATCAGAGTTTTGATAGAGATTGTACTGAAACTATAGGTTGCTTTCGGCAGTGTGGACATTTTAACAATATTAATTCTTCCAATCCATGAACACAGGTATCTTTCCGTTTACTTGTGTCTTCTTCAATTTCTTTTGTCAATGTTCTTTAATTTTCAGTATATAGATCTTCACTCCTTGGTTAAATTTATTCCTAAGTATTTTATTGTTTTTTTGTTTTTTTGTTTTTATTTTTGCAGTACACGGGCCTCTCACTGTTGTGGCCTCTCCCGTTGCGGAGCACAGGCTCTGGACACACAGGCTCAGCAGCCATGGCTCACGGGCCCAGCCGCTCCGCGGCAAGTGGGATCTTCCCGGATTGGGGCACGAACCTGTGTCCCCTGCATCAGCAGGCAGACTCTCAACCACTGCGCCACCAGGGAAGCCCTATTTTATTGTTTTTGATGCTACTGTAATGGATTTGTTTTCTTAATTTCTTTTTTGGATAGTTCATTGTTAGTATATAGAAATGCAACTGATTTTTGTATGCTGATATTATCTCCTGTAACTTTAGTGATTTAGTTTAAAAGCTTCAAACAATTTCTTGGTGGAATCTTTAGGGTTTTCTATATGTGAGATCATGTCATCTGCAGAGACAATTTTACTTCTACCTTTCTGATTTGTATGCATTTTATTTCTTTTTCTTGCCTAACTGCTCTGGTTAGGATTTCCAGTACTGTGTTGAATAGACGTGGCAAGAGTGCACACCCTTGCCTTGTTCCAGATCCGACAGGAAAAGCTTTCAGCTTTTCACCATTGAGTATCATGTTAGCTGTGGGTTTGTCATATGTGGCATTTATTATGTTGAGGTACATTCCATCTATACCTTATTTGTTGAGAGTTTTTATCATAAAAGAGTGCTAGATTTTGTCAAATGCTTTTTCTGCATCTATTGAGATGATCACATGATTTTTATTTTGTTAATGTGGTGTTCACATTGATTATGTGGCATCCCCCAAGGATAAATCCCACTTGATTATGATGTCTGATCCTTTTAATGTGATACAGAATTCAGTTTTTTAGTATTTTGTTGAAGATTTTTACATCTATGTTCACCAGGGATACTGGCTTGTAATTTTCTTTTCTTGTAGTGTCCTTGGTGGGCTTTAATATGAGGACCATGCTGGCCTCAAAAAATGAATTTGGGAGTATTCCCCCATCTTCAATTTTTTGGAAGAGTTTGAGAAGGGTTAATTTTTCTTTTTTCTTTTTTTTGGCTGCACTGCACAGCTTGTGGGATCTTAGTTCCCCCACCAGGGATTGAACCTGGGCCCTCGGCAGTGAGAGCCCAGAGTCCTAACCACTGGACCTCCAGGGAATTCCCGGATTAATTCTTCTTTAAATCGTTGGTAGAATTCACCAGTGAAGCCATATAGTCCTGGGCTTTTCTTTGCTGTGAGGTTTTTAATTACTAATTCAATGTCCTTACTTGTATTGGTCTGTTCAGATTTTCTATTTCTTCATGATCCAGTCTTGGTAAGTTGCATGTTTCTAGGAATTTACCCATTTCTTTTAGGTTATACTATTTTTGGTGAATAATTGTTCACAGTAGTCTCTTATGAGCCTATATATTTCTGTGGTATTAGTTGCAATGTCTCCTCTTTCATTTGATGTTATTTATTTGAGTCTTCTCTTTTTCTTAGTCTAACTAAATGCTTATCAATTTTGTTCATCTTTTCAAAAAACCAACTCTTAGTTTCGTTGATCTTTTCTATTGTCTGCTGAGTCTCTATTTTATTTATTTCTGCTCTGGCCTTTGTTATTTCCTTCCTTCTACTAATTTTGGGCTTCGTTCTTCTTTTTCTAGTTCCTTGAGGAGTAAAGTTAGGTTGTTTGAGATCTTTTTTTTTCTTAACATATCACTTAATGTATCACTTATCACTATGAACTTCCCTCTCAAAACTGCTTTTGTTGCATCCCATAAGTTTTCCTGTGTTGTGTTTCCATTTTCATTAGTCTCAAGATAATT